GACCTGTAGAGAACCCTCAGTTCTTTGATAAGGGAGGGAATTTGTTCACTGTAGTTGCCCTACCTTCTTATTCAGATTGGTTACTGAATGTGTAAAAGAAAACAAAGCAAGCCATGACTTATTTTATTTTTTCTATTCTTTTTGAGAGAGCTCCTGTACTTTTCTTGGTAAGTGCAGTAACACCAACTGGGAAAAAGTTTTTAAAATGTCAAGCTATATAAATAATTGTCCCTGAATGGAAAAACATGGCTTTACTTCTGTCACAGGTCACAGTCCATCTACATTGTCCTTGCCATAGTGATGAGGCCTGTAGCAATTGTATTCTGTGACTTTTGACTATTGGTGCATCTAGGAGTTTCAGGCAATCTAGGACCTCGTGTGCAGTGCTTTTCAGTTTCTCTCTATAGTTAAGTGTCTACAGCACTATCCTTGAATCTGGTCCCTCCTGGAGCAGTGACAGTAGAGAAGATTCTGCAGCAATGCTGGTATCTGGCACATTTTTGTCTAGGGGAGTGAATGAAACCATATATTTCTCCTCTTGCTATTCTGGCTGTCTTTTGAGAGATTACGCAGAACTATCCAGAGCAGGGCATGGAGATGTGTAGAACGATATGCACATCTCAGAGTTCACACATAGGAGATGGTGCAGTGTAGCAGGCCATATTCCCTAGCCTGCTTCGGCAACTCTGATGGATAGAAACTTTACTCTCAAATTTCAGCCTTTACTTAAAAGAAGTCTCACTATTCCAGAAGCTGATACGATAATGGCTGACTGATTCTCCTCATTACTTCCAAACATTAGACTCATTTTTACCAGTAATAGTATGTGGCTTGTTTTAATTATTTAAAAATTGAAAAAAAAAAAAAAATTAGTTCCATTCACATGGGAAATGTTATTTTCTATTGAGAGATTATGTTTTGTTTTGAAAGCCTACTAACAAACAGATCTAATTTGTTTTGCTTCTTTACACAGATACAGAGCCAGGTATCCAGAATGTCTTCTCCAGGATGCAGTTCAGTTTCTATTAAATGGCAACAGTTTAATACAGGTGCACCAGAGCCAATGCAGGCTCCTTCTCAAATACAGTCTTTATTTAACAACGAGAGACTTCTTGTCTATGGATTCATCCCTCACTGTACTCAGGTAAAGACTGGAATGCACATGCACTATTGGATAGAAATTCTTATGTAAAACAATCGCAAAGGAAATACTATATTGTATTATAGATCCTCTTATGCAGCATGCACTTAGCTTCTTTCTCATTGCTAAATATAGTTAAGTTACTATTTAGTTGTCATTATTAGTCTTCCCTCTAAGAAGTAGAGGGGAAAAGTTACCTAATTTAATGTTCCTATCATTGTGCTGTGATAAACACAGGATTCCTTTACTTGTGACTGTCCCCTTCTTGTAAGGGGAAATATTTATAAACTTAGACATGCAGAGACTTACAGCTTTGCGTTATATTTGGGAGACAGAACAGCATATATATGTGCTGGTAACATAGCATGAGAGAGAAGGAAACAGTTTGGTTTTTTCCTTTTAGGCCACCTTAAAAGCAGTGATAAACGATCAAGAACTAGAGACTGTGGTGTCAACTACTGAACTACAGAAGACAACGGGAACAGTGAGTTTGGCCAACATTATTTGTACATGCCATAGTGAGGCAAGCTGCTTTAAACAGCTACATGCTGCTCACGCTCTTCTGAAGCAATTCAAAGCCCTGTTTTCAGCAGCTCTTGCACTTTTAGTTCGCTTCTGATGTTTCAACAGAGACCTTCAGTTTTCAGACTTTTAAAGGGAAACTGGTTTACATAGAAGTGTCATCTTTCTCTCTGCTTTCTAACACAAAACTTAAGCTTCTCAGAATAGGAGGTGCTGCTTCTTGTTTTGGCAGCCTGTTTGGGGTCTAGCTTTATCCTTGGGTTAACTGTTCTTCAGGCAACCTCTGTGAAGAAGCTGCTGCAGCATTCTCTTTCATGTTGTAAATTGTTGCTATGTGAAACATCTCATTGCGAGTTTGTCATCTCTTGAAATGTATGGAAAAAGAGGCGGTAAAGTGTTACTAGCCTTTCCTCTGCTTCAGCAACAATGAAGTAAGGAGTCTTTATGCAGATGAAAGCACAGCACCCATTTTGAAAAAGAAAACAAGCTAAAAAGAACCTTTTATTAAATCTTAACAGGTGTCTACAGTTAAAAAATCAGAAGAATAGTCAACCTTCAGTAATAATCTGATATGACTGTCACCCCTTCCCCACTAAGGGAAGCTGATTTGTTTTGAAATAGAAATTATTTTGTTCCCTGTTTAGTGTAATCTACTTTGAAAGCTACTATCATGAGTTGGTTTCCATGGACATGTTGGTTGTGTTGGTTTCCATAAAGACAGTTGGTTTCCAGGAACGTGCCCTTCCACAGGCAATTAAAATTGGCAAGCAGAAACAATGTATTTGCTTGCTGTAATGAATGTTTGCTTTCAGAAAAATACTTATACTACAAATTCCAGGTGCAGTTTTAAAAAAAGAAAGTTTTGAAAGGCGTAAACCAAAATAGCAAAATGATAAAAGACAGGGTAAAAATTAGAAAAAATGTTAATTCTTGATGCTTTAGATGAATTCTGAGAATTCCTACCTGTTTCTTTTGCCAATTTACCATAGTTCAGCGAGTAACTATTTGCTTAAGAGGTTTTCTTCAGAAGTGGCTCTCTTTGGCATTTATTATATTCTTCCAAACATGAGCCAGTGGGAATATTTTGGCAATTGGAAGTGGAATACAGCTGGACTTTAGGACATTGTCCCCACAAACCTCCCTCTATTTGTTAGCTTTAACATATTGAAGAGACCAAAATTGTTTCTCTTTTCTATGAAAGACTAGTTTAATTAAAAAAAGTAATTTCTGGTTAGTGCAGTTCAGTATTTCCCTTTTCTGTGTACAGCTCCTCAGGTGAAAAATTACTTGATTATGGTACACCTAGTGATTTTTTTTTAAAGTTGAACACTTAATCACTTTTTCCCCAAATTTTGTATTTTTATGGACAGAATTAATTGACATAACTTCACCTATATAGATATTGTTGGTTAAATCTGGGGTAGTTGTCCATGCTCTGTTTACAGTCACTGGAGAAAAATGTGTACATCCAGAAGGGGCATTCTTCCTACTTGTTTTAGTTAACCATTGCAACTTAAGATTAATTGCCTGGTGGAGTTTTGCTGTTTGTTTGCATGCCTGCTTTTTTTTCCTCATTGTTAACTCTAGAGAGAATGTGCACAACAAGTAAAGACCTGGGTATTTTTTAGTTTACTGAAATTAAGTGAAATACAAATGTACCTTAGGTGCAGGTTGTGATTGCCTTACAAATGGAAAGTTAGCTTGACCTTTCCTTAGAGAATGGTATTCTGTGTAAATATGGAAGCTAATTGCCTGAAGCTGGACCTCAGAAATGAAAGGAAGAATTAAAAAAAAAATGTTCCTACTCGTATCATCTATTTTCTTTCTAGGTGCTGCACAAACTTGCAGCAAGAGCTTTCATTAATGACTATGAAGACGGGATTCTTCATGAGAATGAAACAGAACATGAGGTTTGATAATCTGAAATTAAAAGTATACATTTAAAATGCTCAATAGCAAACATTTCAGTGGAATAGAGAAGATTTTCTTGCCTTGTTAAACATAACTAGAAGGTTGCAATTCTAATATCATTTTAAGGTTAAAGTCACCATATAGTAATATCCTCCCAGATAAGATTTTGAAAAATTTTGGGAGTCTTTTCTTCTTCCCCACTATAAGAATATCCTCTGTTGGCATAATGTGTGCATATTTTTCCTAATCTATACCCTGTCATTGTAGGCCATTGGTAATTCTTCTTTTCCTGTGACGTACAACATTTTAGTTTTATGAAGATCAATACACATTAGTCCAGCGAAAGTCCACAGCTTTTGTATAGGATATGGTGGAAGATAATGACCTGTGTTTTACGGATGGTCAGACTTAATGATCTGCTGATCTGTTAAAAAAATGGCATCTAGCTAGTAAAAACTTACCATATTGCATCTTGGCTTATTTGAGACTTTAGACTAATTCTTCTTACAAAACACAGCTGCTTATGTGAGAAGGAGGATAGAACCAAAAGACGTCGAATTAGAGGAAATACATATCCCTGCCCAGAGTTGAGTGAAGAAGTAGAGAAAGTTAGAAGAGAGTACACAGTTAGGCAGGCCAGGATATTCACATGAGCTCTTCCTTTTACGTGTCCCTATTTAGAGTGTATGTTTGTAGGTATGTGTTCAGTTTTGACTTCAACGTTTCTTTCAGCTGATCATATTTTTTCTCTCTGTTCCATTTGTTAACAATCTAGATGAAGAAACAAATCTTGAAAAACATGATTATTCACCTCAGCTTGGAGAACTCGATTATAAGCAGGTTTACAAGCTTCATTGCAGTTGAGAAAAGGGTATGTTTTCTATATAAACACTAGCTTCTCAATTCTGTAACTTTGTACATATCAAAACCAGTCTTCTTTTGCTGAACAATGATTATTCTTTTATAATAGAGCTAAAACTATTATTTTTATGTTATTTTGGTTTCTTCTGCAATATAGCAAGTAATTTTCCTTTTCTAGTTCTTACATTGCTTGTCCCTACTTTATAATCAAAGTTTGTCAATCTGTGTTCCTGTTCTGATTTGCTACAAGGGTTTGTAATTCCTGATAGTGCTGTGGGAGCCAGACAGGTCAAAGGACAAGGCCAGATGAAGAGTGCTCTTCAATCCTTGGTGCATAACTCACAGAACCCTTTCTTATAAAATGTAAGAAATGCCAAACTATAGCAAACTGGCCACTGTAGCCATGGATTGCTGAAATAATAGATTTTGTATTGGCAAAAGTCATTCTAGAGGATCCTGTGTCAGGTGGAAGTCACAAGGAAACCAAAACTTGAGAAATCTCTCTTTAATATTGCAGTAAACTATGGAACTTTTTCGTTTGTTTTCAGTATTAGAACAGCGGTAGGAGCTTTGCCGCAAATGCGAAAATATACATATAAACGACAACCGTGAAATTCAAGGGTCAATAAGAAGTTTTCAAATGGAAAGCTGTATCACAGTAAGCAAGGTGGTATCAGTTGGATTAAGTATTGGGTGGGGCACAGAGAATGGGAATTCATCTGGCCAAATGTGTTTGTGTACATTTAGCAATAAATCAATCACATTTGCCTTCCTCTCATGGACAATGGAAACAGATATTTCTAGGGCTTGATTCATCGCATCCTAAAGTTAAATATCTAAACCAGTTTAAATTAATTTTCTCATGAGATCTTTTTCTCAGTACTGATTGTAGAGGGTTACCTATAGTCACTGTTTCAGATTCAAGGATCATTTCCTTCAAGCTCAAGAGCAGTCTATCCCAATGAACAGAAAGTCAGGCAAAAATTCGAGGAGCTCTAGTGTGAATATATATGAACAAGAAACTCCTGGAAAAACTCAAACATAAAAAGGAAGTGTACTGACAGTGGAAGCAGGGACAGGTAGCCTGGGAGGAATATGGAGACACTATCTGAGCATGCAGAGACATTGTTAGTAAAGCCAAAGTCCACCTGGAGTTGAATCTGGCAAAGAAAGTCAAAGACAACATGAAGGGCTTCTGTAAGTACATAAGCGGCAAAAGGAAGACTAGGGAAAACATAGGCCTGCTGCTGCATGTAGCAGGGGAACTGGTGACACCGGATATGGAAAAGGCTGAGGTGCTGAACGCCTTCGTTGCCTCAGTCTTCACTAGCAAGACCAACCTTGGGAAATTGAAGGCCCCAGAAACTAGAGGGAGCAAGGAAAATGTACCCTTGCTGCAAAATGATCAAGTCAAGGAATACTTAGGCAAACTGAACATACATAAATCCATGGGCTCTGTTGGGATGTACCCACAAGCGCTGAGGGAGGTGGCTGATGTCATTGCAAGGCCATTCTCAAAAATCTTTGAATGATCATGGCAATTGGGAGAAGTGTCCAAAGACTGGAGGAAAGCAAGTGTTGCTTCTATGTTCAAGAAGGGCAAGAAGGGGGACCCAGGGAACTGTAGCCTCACCTTGATCCCTGGGAAGCTGGTGGAGCAGCTAATCCTGGAAACCATTTCCAGGCACATGAAAGATAAGAAAGCTATTGGAAGTAGCCAATTTGGATTCACCATGGGGGAAGTGGTGCTTGAACAACTTGATACACTTTGAAGATTAAATGACTGGTGTGGTAGACGAGGGGAGCGCAGCAGATATTGTCTACCTGGACTTCAGTAAGGCTTTTGACACTGTCTCCCATATGATTCTCGTATAGGAGCTAATGAAGTACGAGCTGTATGAGCAGACTGAGGTGCATTGAAAACGGGATGAATGGCCAGTTCCAAAGGGTGATCAGTGTCAGGAAATCTAGTTGGAGGCCAGTGACTACTGGTGTACCCCGGGGCCAACAGTGGGGCCAGTCCTGTTCAAAATCTTCATTGATATTCTGGATGATTGGACAGAGTTGTACCTTCAGCAAGTTTGCTAATGATACAAAACTGGAAAGAGTTGATACACCAGAGGATCATGCTGCCATCCAAAAGTACCTCAATAGGCTGGAGAAATGGGCTGACAGGAACCTCATGAAGTTAAAAAAGGAGAATTTTTACAGCTTTTTACAATGTCCCAAACAGTTTTTTTATCATCACAATTCATTATTTCATATGATATATTAATATAAATGAAAGTAGGCCTGAGTGAAGAATTCAATGGAGATGCTGGAAAAAACAAGGATATCTTTTCCTATTTTTACTGTTTGTCCTGGTTTAGCCCAGCCAGCAGCTCAGCCACCACGAAGTCACTCGATCCTCCCCCTCAGTGAGGTGGAGAGGAGAAAAATGTAGCAAAAGGCCTGAGATAAGAACAGGGATATTCAGGGATGGCACCTGAATATTCCATCTGGTACATAACAGAAGCAGTATTCAGAAGAAAAAATATGTTGCATATTAGCAAGGGAACGCCTGTGTGATTTTGTGAACTAGTTGTTTACGAAGGGCATCAACAGATTATTATCTGTCATTCTCATTTTTATATGTCAGTTTTTGCAATTCTTCAAAAGATTCGGTTTCCCTGTGTCGATACGATGCCTCTCAGGGAACAGACTTCTAGAATGTTATGTTTGAATTATGTCTGTAAATATAATAGCTTTAATCTCTTTTCTACTCTAGGATAACTTTTTTGACCCCGTAGAACAAAACATTGCAGACGTCTTAAGGCAAAAGCACCTACACAGCACAATGCAGTACCATGCAGAAACACCCAGACTGTCCCATTCAGCTTGGCACTGCGTTATGCTGTGCAATTTGTCTTTTTAACGTGATTTTGCAGAAGGCAATGTGTTTTAGGCATATCTATAATAATGCTTATGTTTGCTTTCCTTTAAAGGGTGGCACTAAGATTCTGACAAAAAGAACTGCGTAAGATTTAGATTTTATTTCAATTATCTGGATTTGAACAAATTATACATACAAATACATACTGTCCACCTTTATATTTTGTGTTAATCTAATTACTGACCATACATTGTCCCTCAATATAATAAAAAATGTGAAGTTACATTTACTGTTTTTTTTGTATGTGCTGAGTATTTCTAATGTGCTGCATTATCTGCTTATGCCCTGTTTTCAACACATTTCAGACTCACAAAGAAAAATGCACTGTCTCTATAATGTCTGAGAATTTTCAGGTTCATAACTGTGATACATTTTAATCTAGGATGCTAATGAAACTGGTTCTGCTGATGTTCCAAACATCCTGGAGATCATAGCTCAAGAAGATGTAGATTTTTTACCTTACATGGGCTGGAACCAAACGTCGATAGACTCTGGCTGGTTATTTTCAGAAGATAACTTTTATGCCCTGGTAATGACATTTAATATATGTTCTTATTGCTAACATTTTTGGTATATTATCCAGTTGTGGTACTGTATTGTACGTGTAACCATAGAGTAACTGTTCATTAAATCTCTTCAATTTTTAATTATTTTGAATATAATTAATGCCACACAAGTACTATGTGGAATTTTACTATAAACACGAAAATTTGGAGGAACCTGTCCCAAAAGTAAAGTACACTAAAAATATCATGAGTGCAGCAGAAGTTTTGAGAGGCAACATGATAATATAGACTTCTTCTCCCTTCCAGAAGAGACTAGCACCTGTTAGAACATTCTCTCATAAGAATATGCTAGTGTAGATGAAGCCTCAAGTTCACCTCTAAGAAACTGGGGAGGAGGGGGAGGAGTTTCAAGGACAATCAAGGTATTTATCCGTAACTAAGTCTCCACTAGCAGAGAAGTACAGCCAAAGCAGGGAGACTACTGGAAATAAGGATAAGCATAACTGGGAAGAAGAGGACAGATTTCTAGCATGCAATGGGACAGTCGCGACTGTCCGAGCAACCAGAGATCAGGTTAGGAAAGCTAAAGCCCTGATAGAGTTAAATCTGGCCAGGCACATCAAGGGCAAGAAGAAAAACTTCTGTAGATATATCAGTGATAAAAACAGATCTAGGGAAAATGTAGGCCCTCTCCGGAAGGAAACTGGGGACCTGGCTACCCGGGATATGGAGAAGGCTGAGGTTCTCAATGGTTTCTTTGCCTCAGTCTTCACTGGCAAGAGCTCCAGCTGCACAGCCCAAGCCACAGA